AACTCCCGACCTCAGGTGATCCACTTGCCTCGGCCTCCCAAAGTGCTGGGATTGCAGGTGTGAGCCACTGAGTCCGGTCTCCAGCCCATATTTTCTTGCCCCTTTCTCTGGCCACGCCTCAGATTCAAGCCCACCCTCGGGACAGTGAAAGGCCTTCTACACAGCATGGCAAAAAGTGCAGGCTTGGGTGTGGACATGAGGTCTTATCCTGGCACCGCTGAGTCATCCTGAGCAAAGCTGCTGAAAGTAAGAGCCTCAGTTTGCTCATCTGTAAAATGGGAATGTTCACATAGGAGGTGCTCAATCAGTGTCCAAAGGAGGAATTAACACTCATCCTCATCTGCAGGATTCCCAACTGCCAGCTTCAGCTGCAGCACTGCCACTGATAGCTGTGGGCCCGTGGGTGGGTTACTTAATGTCTCTGGACTTAGTTTTCCTGTCTCTAAGATGGGGATATGAATTGTATCCACTGCAGATATCTGTTTGGAAGGTTAAACAGGAGTGTGAGCCTTCATGCAGAGCCGAGGCCCCACGTGCTGATCGGAAGGAGGTGTTAAAATGGCTTGCTCCTTTTTACCCTTTTTTCTTTTTTTTTGAGACAGAGTCTTGCCCTGTCACCCAGGCTGGAGTGTAGTGGCATGATCTTGGCTCACGGCAACCTCCGTCTCTCAGGGTGAAGCAATTCTCGTGCCTCAGCCTCCTGAGTCACCGGGACTACAGGCACGTGCCACCACTTCCAGCTAATTTTTTTTGTATTTTTAGTAGAGACAAGGTTTCACCATGTTGGCCAGGCTGGTCCCAAACTCCTGGCCTCAAGTGATCTGCCTGCCTCGGCCTCCCCACGTGCTGAGATTACAGGTGTGAGCCACTGCACTCCACTGTTTTTGCCCTTTGAACGACACTAGTCTCTTCAACTTCCCAAACAAAGGCCTTGAATGTCAGTCCGCCTGCCTTGAGCCCCTGCCTCCACCCTCCAGGGGTGGCCTCCCATCTTCACTGTGTCCCTCTGGTGATGGGAACTCATGTCCTCACCAGGTAGCCCTGGTCATGAGAAAGCTGTGTCCCTGGAACTTCCATCTCCCGAGTAATTCTTGCAACACGAGTGCACGCATGCACCATCAGGACGCATCTTTCTGGGCAGGGCAGAGCGGGCACCAGCGGGTGAGGAGGTGGGGCTGGGACCGTGGAAGCCTCTCAGGACAGTCCACTTTGGGGGCACTTGGCTGGCCCCTCTGTGCTCTCCCCCAAAAAGTGACTCAGTCTTTTGTAAAAACTTGTTTTTAATTTTGTATAAAATAAAGGTGGTCCATGCCCAGGGAGGCTGTAGGAAATCCAAGCAGACCAGCTGGGGTGCGGGGACACAGCCTACCTCGGGGGACTGAATAGGGGACTGTCTGTCATCAAAGCGGGCTGAGGCCTGTCAGGGGCCCAGGTCCCATGGAGAGGCCTGAGATGCCCCTCAACCCGGGGGGCAGAGACTGGGCAGTGGGGAGCCCCCATTGTGCCCCAGAGGTGGCCACAGGCTGAAGGAGGAGCCTGCACCACAGCCTGCAACCCCCAGGGCTGCAGTCCACTAACTTTTTACAGAATGGAAGGAACATGGGGATGGGGAAGAAAGCACCAGATCAGGCAGGGCCCGAGGACCCTGGATCCCAGAAGGGCCAGGACTCAGTATGCCAGCACCACCCTAGCAGCCCCCACAGCTCCTGGCGCAGGAGGCCGCCACGGATTGACACAGGCCACTGCTGGCCATCACGCCACATTTGGAGAACTTGTCCCGACAGAGGTCAGCTATTGAGGGCAGGAAGGAGGCTGGGTCAGGGTGGGGCTGGGCAGTGGGAACCCCTGTCCCTCCCTGACTCTGGTGATGGGAGTGTTTTGAGGATGAAAAGTAGCAGGGAGGGGCCCTCAGGGTGTCCTGGAAGTGTGCCTGGCGCATAATAGGTGTTGAATAAACATCAGGTGGGTGGCTAGGTGGCGAGATAATGAAGCTGGTGTGGGGGCAGGGGAGGCCTTGGGGAGGAGACCTTCCTACCTCGGAGGAGCTCCTCGTGGGCACACACTGTACGGACACAGATCTCCTTGTTGATGACGTACACGCGGCGGAGGCTGTGGGGACAGGGCCCAGGAGGTCTCAGCCCCACCTCCACCCAGCCCCACTGGGATAGCCCAGACAGAACCTGGCCATGGAGCCCAGGAGGGGAGGTCCCTGGCCCAGACTGAACCACAGAATTGAGCTCAACTTCAGGACTCACTCTTCCTCCAACTCCCACCGGGGCTGGCCAGAGCCGTCCCCTGTGCTCTCTGGCCCCCATGCTCCAGAGTCCTCCCAGCAGCTGCCCGCCCGTGCTCACCTGTAGAAGCAGACCTCGTTCAGACACTGCTTGCAAGGCTTGTGTATGGAGTAGAGGCGGGTGCACGGGTACTGCTCCTCACGACAGTCTGGGTGACAGGTGGGGTCAGACTAGGAGTCCAGAGTTGGGGGGCAGCCCCCAACCTTACCCACCTGAGACTGGCTCGCAGGGCCTAGTCCCTGTGTACCCTTACGTCCCATGCAGACACCCCTACCTCCACATACCCACATAGACACACACAGCATTGCTAGACTTTCCCAGCCTGTAACATTCATTTATCAACTCACCACTGAACTTACTATAGAAGCTGAAGTTCAAACAGAAATTCACACCCACCCACATATCATAAAAGCCCACACCGACTCAGAAGCAGATCTACCCACGCTCACAGAAGCCCACATAGGAACGCACACATCAACCCACACGAGGGTGGGCACCTGGATTCTCCTGCACACACATGTCTTGTTCTTTGAAGCTCTCAGCTGGGGCAGGTGGAGGGGCACTGCTCAGCCAGCCCGCACTCCCCGGCCCTTCCTTGTGCCCACATATGCGCTACCCAGGCAGGCTCTCCGGCTGACAGGAAGCCCCCAGCACACTCCCTGCCCCTCCCAGTATCTGTGAGGACAGGGCCCTTCCTAGGCTGCCGATTTAGCCTCCGGCCAGGCCCACTGGGAGCAGAGTGGGACCTCCTGGAGCTGCGCGGGGGGCCTGGTGGTGCCAGCCTACAGCAGGAGCAAGCTTCCCCTCCCCACATCACTGCCAGCAGCCTACACAGGCAAGAGCAAAAGTCCTCCAGCCCATCAGCACCGCCGCCTACTCCACCCCAACGTCAGGCCGTGCCTCCATTTCTCCCACTGGCAGGAAAGCCCTTACCCAGAGGCCCGGGCTCCGTGGGTTCCAGCTCTGCATTTCCTGGTTCTGATGTCGAGAGAGAGGCAGGCAGACATCATTGGAAGGCAGACATCATTGTCTCTTCAGGGCAGGGGAATCACCCTGGCAGACCCCCCCCCACTCCCAGGGTTGACAGGGTGGGGAGGGTGGGGCAGGGGCTGGGGCCTACCTGGGGTTGGGGCCACTATGACTTCCTGTTGGACTTGCTGTTGGGACTGGAACTGGAACTGTTCCTCCGAGGGCCGAGAAGTCACCTCTGCAGCCAGGGGAGGATAAGGGGGTCCGCTCCCTCCACCCGCTCCCGGGGCTCTCCCCACCCAGCTGCCGGCCCATCCTATCCTGTCCCCAGCCCGTTACCTTGATAATCATAGTAGTCTGGGTTGTCTGCAAACAAAGATGAAAGTGGAATTGGTGGGAGTCAGGCTACCCACCAGCCCCAGAGGCAAACAAGGTCCCTGCTGAGCCAGGGACCCAACCCCAGAGCTCCCATGAGCTGTCCAGTGCGGTCCCTGGCTGAGCCATGCACATCTGAGCAGCCAGGCCTTCCTTGGTGACCCTGGGGATGGAAGGCCCTTACCGATCTGGTCGCCGTAGTGGGTGTACTGGACGTGGTCAGGGAATGGCGGTGGTGGGTCCAGGTCATACTGGCCCTGAACCAGCGGGCCTGCTGTGGGGAGGCAAAGCATGTGGGGTGCCCCGAGGGAAGGAGCGACAGGGGCCTGAGGCGCTTCTAGGGAGGGGAAGGGGGGTCACAAGAGCAGGCCTGTAAGAGCCTAGGACCCCACAAGCAGATTCCTAGAGGATCCAGACTCTTCCTCAAAGGTAAAGACCCTTCCCCACCCTCGTCGTGGGTCACCTCCCTGACCCTACCCTGCCCCTACGTGTCACCGGCCTCCTGGCTGCTCCTGGGACTCCACATGCTCTTGCCTGCCTCAGGGCCTTTGCACTTGAAGCTCCCTGAGCCTGTGAGGCCTGCTCAGCTCTTTCAGGTCTTCCCCGGAATTTCAGTTGTGCGGAGAGGCCGACCCACCCCCAGCCCACCGGCCCTCCTGCTGATTTCTGTCCAGCACTCAGCACATGCTGGAGTTTCTCACATCTGCTTGTCTCCTATTTGTCCCCCTTCCCTGGACTGGCAGCATGATGAGGGCAACGATGTGTCTCCCTGGTTCATGCTGAACCCCCAGGGTCTAGC